TCAAAAAAAGATGACACGATTCTTTTCTTATAAGATAGTCAAAAAGTAATTAATGCATCGAAACGTTTTAACCACTCGAACGATGACAGTTTTTTTGGGCATTCTTACTTTTTCAACTGAAAATTGTTTTTGTGTAATGTTTTCAATGTTTGCCGTAGTATCTTTCCTACTAATTATTCCACTGCACACCAACTCTCAAACACAACAACAACAGGCTTATTATCAAACAGTAGCACAGTCAGAATATTATTCTAATAGTACCACAAGCGTAATTCATAACTTTACATCAGTTTATTTCACACTTCTTGAATGTACACAAAAATGTTTTGCATATTCAACGTGTAAACTAGCAACATATTATACGACGACGACGGACGAACGATTGTGTTCACTTTACAGTGACTCAGTTGAGAATGGAAACATTCAATTTAATATGAATGCAAAAATTATTGTGTTAAGTAATTGACAAAGTTCTAGAACATTGTTTTCATTGATAAAAACGCAAAACGCTTTTCGGTCGGGAAAACTTAGGAAAACTCGATTTTCTGAAGCCCAGGAGCACTTCAGAAAACCGAGATATAGATATTCGTATTCAACGTGAAATTCTGCATCGAACAGTGTATAATCAATGGGTTTTAAACATGAAAGTTTTACACATTTTTTGCCTCCGGATAACCCGCTTACTGAGCAGGACTTCAGTAGGCCAACGTTTTGAACACAGGACCAAGCGCGTCCTGTGCTTTACCTTAGAAAAATTTTTCACATATTTTATATGTACAGCTTATGTACAGTTTTTTATGTACGTATAGAATGATCGATGCTCTTTCAATAGCGGAAACCGCAGGTCCCACGAACTTTACTATCAGAAGTTATGCGCCTTTTATTTCAAAATACCGTTTCTCCGGCTTGCGCTTTATGCCTCACCTGGTAAATCATAACTCTGTTAGAGCAATATTTTTAAAAATGGAAAACGCCATTTGAAAGAGCACACCTTGTGTTACAGCAAAAATCTATGGGGGTCAAAATTCTGAGATGCGGTCTGAGCACGTAAACTGAGCAAAAGGCGCCTCTTACGTACGATGGCTCCTAAATCCGTAAATATCTCTTCTTTTGAAGAGACCACACAAAACGACTTTGCTTATGTGTGTTTTGTTCATAGAAACTACTCCAGTTTTTGTATCGACAATAGTTACAAGCACGCAGACATCCTCGCAACCGACTACAGCGATGGCTGCGTCTTCCAAACCGACCACTACGGTGGCGCATACATCAGCACAACCGATGACAACGATCGTCCTGTCTTCAACGGTGGCACTCACATCGTCGCACCCAAGTACAACGCTGAAGACCATGGTTAGCTCAAGTAAGAAACTGGCAGTGTGTATGTTCAAGTCTGTACTCTGTTCTCTGGAGAGCGTCAGCTATTTATATATTGCAGTTTGATACAGATTTTTACCATCAAGAATCTTTACTTTTCTAAACAAAACTTTTCTCTATGACTTATCTAGTAAACTTAATTGAAGATTGCCAAAAAACAGAACATATTGACCATGTACTATTATAAAGAAAACGAAACTTTTTGCAACATTTTGCTGGTCTGTTGAACTTCGTAAGGAATCGTAGCTCACCGTGAGGAACTCACCCTGTTCCCAATCAGACAACCCCGCTGCTGATTTCGAGTAGATGCCGAACTTTTGAAAGTTTGCGAGTCACACATCAAAAGGACTCATCATGGAATTCTGAACAAAAGAAGCTATGTCGGAACTTGGCGAAACCGAATTTTGTTCGAGTGAATATTGGAGATCAGAGTGCAGTTTTGCATCGATTTATTAGAGTCTGTGAAAGCAAATTATGCTAATGTGCCTCCACCTCAGCAGTGATAAGAGGGAAACTTTTCAAAAAAATCGGAAGTGGTATCTCTAGGTTCTGGCATGCCTCATATTGTTCGACAGTCAAGCTAAGAAAAAAGGAAGAGAAACTGAAAAAAGTGGAAGGAAAAAATTGAAAAGGAAAAAGGAAAAGGAAGAAATTGAAAAAAATAAAAGGGAGAAAAAATTATTTGTATAATAAAATAATGGAACTTCCGCCATCCACATACGTTGTATTAGTTGTCTTAGTTGTCTTGTATTAGTTGACTTCGCGAATCCATCAAACATTCTACAATACGGTGGTTCCCAGAAGTAGTAAAAGTAGGCACTTATCTTGAATACTTCTTTTTCTTCGTCTAATGTATGAATCTAAATTGCACTTTTCCGCTGTGTATCAGAGAGTATGAAAGGATGCCACTCTTCGTCATACATTTAAAAAAATAATTATAACAGGAAATTATCGCTCGAAACATTTTCTGAAACCTCGTCTCCTTCTCCTTTGATATTGCAGATTTTTATATAATTGCACTTAAAAGAGACTTCGCGAATCCATCGAACATTCTACAATACGGTGGTTTTATGCTCGAAATGGATCTATACCTTTTACTGTGCTATTCGGTTCTATGATCAAAACTGAACGTATGGAAAAACTTCAGCCTGTTTGCATTTGATTTGACCCAGTTATGCATTTTCCAAGACATGGATGTCGAAGAGTTACAAAAAACAAGGAGTACTCAGCATTTTGCCACTGACTTCGTCAAATTTAGTTTGTTCTCTTCGAGCAAAATCTCATTAGAAAGCTCGATAAAAAGTGAATAAATCCATGTGACTTTGAATTTTTGTAAAACTCCCCCCTGTTGTATAAGGAGTTTCGGTTTTATACCGGGTTTCCTAGTGATTACCATGACTTTTTGACCATGGGACGGGACGCCCCTTCCATCCTCCTGGAGTATTTATCTTAACTGGCAGGAGTATTTAAGCCAAAAAGCGGGATTATTTCTGTTAAAATACACGAGGGATTATATTTTTATAGAACAGCCGATAAGAGTCATGGTTCAAGCTGCTCATATTTTCTGTTGCGTAGCTTTTTTTCTCATAAATATATTTTATGGCAGCGAGGCGAGCTTCACCTTTCAACGCCATAGACGCTATTCTGGCCAGATCTTTTAAATTAGTCAGCGGCTTGTCCGATTAACGGTCCCCATTTTTCATTCATTTTCAAAGAGTCTTTGCAATAAAGCTAGGAAGTAATTTCAAATTCGAAATAGATGATCTAGTAGAATAAATATTTCTCTACAAAATGAGAGGTGTCTCAGTTCTAGAAGTTGATTAGTAATGAAAATAGAGTTATTGTACGAAGAGCTTAAAAAGTTGATTTTAGGACTATCTGAAAAGCGTTTTTGAAAGAGTGAGAACGATCGAGCAAATATCCATAAAGTATACCAGTTTGTAGAGAATTGTTTGCTCTACAAGATGTGATGCTTTCTAACGTTGGAAACTATCTTAATTAATCTTTATTAATCAAGAAAAAACAACAAAGAAAATCGTAACGCACTCACGAAAAATGGCCAGAAGTGTAAGTGCGTTACCATTTTCTTTGTTATTAGCTTTATTGTGAGGGTTCTTGGAAAAAGAGTAGAAAAGGGGGACGGTTAGCCGGACAAGCCGTCAGTCATATGGTTAGAAAAACGTATTTCACAAAATTTATCGGTTCTTCACATGTTTCGAACATGATCGGTAGCGTTCATACACAGGAAAAAGCCACTAGTAATTCTCTCTGCCTGGGTTTTGTGGAGTACTGAGTTTTCTACAAAACCCACCAAAAAGTTATCGAAGCAAAGGATCAATCAGATCACTGTCAAATTACACAAGCAAGATGGCGGACTGACGCTATTTTTCCGAGATTATTTTGAATTTTCTGCTTTTTACAGCTTAAAGTCCTATGTAACGTGAAAAATAAGGTGATATTCGGAATCAGCATAAAGAACTGCATCTACTGATGTGCCTATCAAGTAAAAATGCAGCAATGAATGATCCCAAAATCAGATGTAGTTTTTGACGGTGATTTTGAATATCATCGTGTTTTTCATTTTAAATTGGATTTAAGCTGTGTAAAACGGAAAATGCTGAAGAAACTCGAAAAATTAGCATCAGACCGTCATCTTGTTTCCGAAATTTTGATGTGACTTGATCCTTTGCTTCGAAAATTTGTGGATGGATTTTGTAGAAAATTCAACTCTCTACAAACGCAGGCATTCAGAATTTTCGATGGGCCTTTCTGTATCTGAACACAAACTATCGTTTGGAAACATGCGGTAGGAAAGACCGGAAATTATTAGGAAACGCATTTCTCTAATATAAAAATCCAGCTGCAAACAGTTTAAAAAGAAACGCGATTTTAGTTAGTTTTTATCGGGCTTTCTAACGAGATGTTGGTCGAACAGAACGACGATATGCGAATGCTGCTGATCCATATTTTTTTAAAATTTCTCGACACCCTAACTCCGTCAAATCAAGTGCAAACAAGCTAAAATGTTTTCCATACGCCCACCCTAGTCAACGTTTTTACGTGCAAGAAAGCAAGAAGGCCTTGTGACATTTCTTGCCTAAGAAAAGTTTCTTGTACCTACTTGCTTTTTCAGCAAAAAATATTTGACTACAAGCGCACAAGGACCCTAACTCAATGGTAAAATGCGGGCTTAGGATGCATAAAACCACCGGTTTAATACCGGCAAAGTGCTGCAGTTTTTTTTGTTTTTTTGCATCTTTCTTGCCATCTCTCCGCAAATCTATTTCTTGCAGGGAGGTAACAAAAAATTTCGTGCGGTTTCTTGCAAGGGCAAATAATATTTCTTGCAGAGAGATCTTTAGCGCAAGAAGTCGCAAGAAAGATTCCGTTAAAACTGGCTAATTCTTCTTGGGACATTCTTGGCCAAAGATCTTGCGAATTTCTTGTCCCGAGAAAGTCAATTAGGGCAGCTTGATTATACGATCGAGCGGCACCGTAAAAGGTATAGGTCCATTTCGAGCATAAAGCGACTTTTCTGGATGGGCTCACAAAACCTCTCTTAACTTCACTTCATTGGTAAACAGTGTTTTCTTATCTTTTCTTTTATCCTAGTTGCTTCTACTATGTGTCCGACTACCACACAATGTACAACATCATGTCAGACGGTTGCTGGTAATTCGAACAACACTGCCGGAAGTAGTATATCAGCTTTGAATTTGCCCCAGAAAATCTACATTGATTCATTGTCGAATCTATATGTATCAGACAGTACCAATCAACGTGTTATAAAATTTAGTTATGGATCAACCACAAATGGTCAAATTATTCTAGGCACCACCGGTGTACCAGGTTCGAATTTATCATTATTAGATTATCCGACCGGTCTTCAGCTGGATTCGAATGGCAATTTACTAGTTGTAGATGCAAATAATCATCGTGTTATAAAATTATTTACAAATGGAACAGTTACAGTTGTTGCTGGTATATCTGGACAGAGCAGTTCAAGTCTAAATCACTTGAGAAATCCAAACGATCTATATATTACAGCAGATAATACACTGTATGTATCTGATCAGAATAATAACAGAGTTCTTCGATTTGCACCGAACAGTACCGGTGGGGATAATGGAATCATTGTTGCGTGTAAGTTTTACTTTATCATTCGAATTACTTGATTAATAATATTACTGTACTTTAAGGACGAGTGCATGAGAAGAATATCGAGTATTATTTAGAATGACCATAACATGACAATTTTTAACATAAATGTTTTATTATTTTAGGATGGTACGACCAAAACTGGGATTATGAAAAAACTTTCCCACCATTTGTACTTGATCTGCCCGAGTTATAGAATTTACAAAACGAGGTATATCGCCAATATGTCGAAATGAGTCTCCAGCGATATTTTGACTATAACTTCTTCATACTTTATTTGTTCTGTCTGAGCACCATTTTATTCGAAAGACTGTTAAAAATTGAATAAGCTCCACCGAACTTAGCGAGAAAAACAGGCTTTCCCAAAAAATTTGAATTTTTAGTTATGAGTTATTTGGCATATTTTGAACTTCTCAAAGCCGTTTCACAGTTACCCGAGGATTTCAAAGCTGCATCTTGTAGAGCGCGAAACTCTGTACAACATAGGCTACTTTTGAATTTTTCCAATGGAATAGTTATGTCCAAGTTTGGGAAACAGAGGTAGAAAATAGCCAAAAACGGCTAAAATGAGAAAAAAATTTTGAATTTTCTCCACGCAGACAGCGTCTAAACTAAAAAATAAGGCCATATTTGGAATCAGCAGCGAAAACTGATTCGAATAACATGTGTATCGATGATTTTCAGGAAAAAAATTTTGATGAGACAAGATTTCAGAAAAGAATCGTTTTTATCGCTGATTACGAATATGACCTCATTTTGTAGTTTGTATGGAAATTGTGGAAAAATATTGAAATAAGGTTTCTAATTTTAGCATTTTTCGGCCATTTTCTGATTTTGTTTCTCAAATTTCGTCCTGTTACGAATCATTCGGAAAATTCAAAAGTAGCCTCTGTAATAGAAACTTTGGCGCTCTAAAAGATAATATGTTTAAATCGGTGGTATATTTTACAACGGCTGCAAAAAGTTCAAAATATATGAAAACTTTCGTATCGGAAAGCCTGAAATTTTTTGCAAAAGCCAGTTTTATCTTAATAAGAAGGGTAGAAAAATTTGACACCTTTCGGAGCGTATTCAGTTTTTGATGGTCTTTCGAATGAAATGTTGCTCAGACAGACCGGATGAAAACTGGCAAAGTATTGGAGAAAATGCTGAAGGTGGTAGCTTTCCAAAATTTCCCGATGATGCTTATTTTGTAAATTGTATAACTCAGCCAAATCAAGTTTGAAAAGATAACTTTTTTGAATAAACCCTGTTTTGATTATCGAGCCCGAAGGTGTAATAAAAAATTCAGGTGAAAAATGGTCATGTTATGGTTATTCTTGATGATCCTGTGCACTCCTTTTCATTATTCTTTTACTTTACTTTATTTTTCTATATAAGCTGGCCTAAATGATCCAAGAGCTGTCTATGTAGATACGAATTTGAATCTCTATGTTGCTGATACTAATTCACATGTAATTCGTCAATTTACACGTACAAATGCGACATACAACGTTTTAGTAGCTGGAAATACAACTGCTGGTAGCAGTACAAGTCTGTTAAATTTACCTCGCGCTGTAACGTTGGATGAAACTACAACTCCAGATACGATGTATATTGCCGATACCGGGAATAATCGTATCCTAACATGGGTTATCGGTGCCACGTCAGGAACTGTCTTTGCCGGTACTAGCAGTCCTGGACCGTGTACATCATTAAATAATCCTTTCGATGTGAAATTGGATTTAACAAAGTCTAAGGTTTATATTGCTGATTATAATAATAATCGAGTAATGCGATCAAATGGTATGTACTATTTTCTACTATATAATATGAATTCTTTGAGAATTAATCGAGTTGATTAATGAATAGGAGACGAAAACTTGTTGGCTTTTACTGAGGCAAAGGAGGAGCGAAAATCGATCCATCGTATTTTGGGGATAATGGACAAGGTTGACCTATAGTTTTTCGGATTCTGCGGTCAAAATCCGAGTTATGAAAAAAACTTTTACCCGTTTAACCTTTTTTCGACGAAGTTAGGAATTTGGAAGTGAAGGTTGTCGAGAAAGCCAAAGCATCTCTAATATTTTGGATATAATTCGGCCAAATTTTCTACCCGTTGTTTCCGAACAACAGTACATTGAAAATCCTAATCAAAAACTGAACAAAATCTGGAATTTTATTTTGTTGGGTACTTGAATTATCCTCCGAAAAAATTAGATGGACTAAATTTGTCTCATTTTCCCAAACTTAGCAGTTCTGATTTGATGCTATTTTTCGTTCGGTAACAGTCTCTGGGATATCTTCTCGTTACATACGCTTTGTAGAGTGTTAAATTTTCTACAAAACCTAAGAAAAAACTTTGAAAAAAGTTTCAAGACATGTCGATTTTTGGGAAACAAGATGGTCGACTGCCATTGATTTTCCAAAATTTCCCAGCCTGAGAGAAATCTTAGGACGAAAACAGGTGATATTTAGAATCAGCATTAATAACTGTATCGATTGATGTGTCTCTCAAGTATCCTGGAGAACATCAGTTTTTTCCGCTTTTGTAGATTTTTTTATTTTAAAGTTTTCTCATGTCTGACCAAAATTTTGAAGTTCTCCAAAATCCTTGAAAGGCACCATCGTTCGATGCAATTTTTGATGGTGATTCTGAATATTCCCTTCTTTATATCCTAAAAGTCCGCTCAAACTGTGAAATTTTGAAAAAAATTGAAAAAAGTTGAAAAATTAGTAGCAGCCGACCATCTGATCTACCAAAATTTGTAAACGTTTTTTCATAACTCAAGTTTGTTGCATAGAATTGAATGACATCATAAAAAATATAGGTCTGTTTTGACTATTTGCCATCTCTCCAGAAAAATGCTTGCTCTCTTACTGAGATATCTTACGTTAAGTGCAACGAAAAAGCGGAAAAATTCTATCCGAACGAAAACTTCATTTGTCAACATTGGTTTCCATACTTCCTTTTTTTATATCTCTAGTTTGTGTGTGATTTCGTCTGTTACTCCACCGACAGCAACGACGATGGCATTAACAGCAACAACAACATAATGTACTATTATTTGAGTTAAATAAGACGCCGTGACGGACGGAAAAAGGTAGACCGTCACGTGTCCAGGCCGTACTCTGTTTTTTTGTATTCGTTGCTTTCTATGAATGCTTAGCGTTAATTTGCTTTTGAAGAATATAAGTCTAAGACTTTGTTAGAAGAATATAATTCCAAATGAATTTCAGAAAATAGTTCCTACTGACTTTTGAGAAAATGCCTGCTATGCCTTTCACTACTATCCATTTCAAAATAGAATGTACTCTATTTCATCCGCTGAATACAGCTTTCTACCTAAAAGTAGTTAAAAGTGTTCTTCTTCTTCAGAAGATCCGTAGAAAACGTTTGTTAAAAACCCAAATACTCTCAGTTGTTTTTTAGAAGTTATATTGGAGCCAATGATATAGTGCAGATGAAATAGAGTACATCGTGATATCTGGAGTCTTGACCAACTTTGACTGAATTATAACTTCTCTAATTTTACGCAAAAACAGGCAACAATGGGTTATTTCACATAGTATACGTTTTCAACTGTTTCGAACTAAAAAAAACAAAAAAGCTTTTTATAGTAAAATATTGTTGTGCTAAAACGGAGCAGATTTTTCTTTTAAACTTATTATGGACCATTCGATAGAGTGTTTTGAGCTGATCATCAATATGTAGTTTTTAATTTTTTCCAAATGTCTTTTCCACGTACAAAAATCAAGAAAACTCGAAAAAGTTAGATTTTTCCACTTGAGTTTTTAGTTGGAACGTTCAAACTATTTTTTCTTGGTCAGCGTTAAAAGTTGAATTAAAAGATGATATTAAATAATTAAAAGACATTCTGATTTTGAATGTCTTTCTTTTAGCTTTCTCTTATTTTCTTGTTTTAAATCTGATATTCCTGGTTGCGAAGTTTAAAAAATTTGTATTTTCTAGAGGATGCCTCACTCTATCGTGCACTATGTTAAACTCAAGGACAAAAGATTTTTCTAAAAAAGTTAAGTTTAATCTTTAACTGAGTTTGAAATGAATTCCAACATGTTCCTGACAGCCGGATAAAACACGATGAAATTAGCGTTCTAATTGTATCAAGAGACGTTATTTAGAAAAGAACTTTTTTGCTGCCAAAACTTGTTGTTTTCGAAATGTTCAATGATGACGAAATGCTCCTTCGAGAAAACGGAAGTGATTGTCGATTCGAGTGAGTAGCGATCGAGTTAAAGAGTCGTGAGTAATATTTTTCACTTATTTCGAATTAAGTTCGCTTCTTCTGTGTTCGAGATGCGATATTTCGATCTTTTCTCGTTCAGATCTGATCAAGAATAAGAAGTTGCCACCCAGATGGAACGCATTTGCGGATGAGAACAAGACTTCGATCAGTGAGAAACCTGTTCATGTGAAACAAAAGCCTCCTTGTATTCAGTTGAAATCGAAAGCAAAAGAAACGAGGCGATTCTGCTCGAGTCGAATCTAAACTAAAGAGAAATCTTCGGCATGAACCTAAAAGTATCATCATTTCGTTCTGTCTGGGAAATTCTCGTCGATGTGCGAAGAGATTCTTCATTGTTCAACTTGAGTTTCGCCGTCGAACAACTACTCTTTGTGCTCTCCAATCGCCTTTCGCTTTCGAAAGACCTTGAGGATGAACATCAGAAAGAAATCTTCCCTCCCACCTGAACAACACAAACATTGTCTATTCAACCTCACCTCTCTGCGATAAAAAAAGTCGAGAAATGACGAATTATCTTATCGAGAATACTCCTATTTGCTTTCACCAAATCCATCTCGATGAAGAGATTCTTCATTGATTCTCAAGAGCAATCTCTCTCTTCTTCTTTCTCTCAGAACTCAACTCTCATCGCAATCCACAATTCGAAGACAATATGGCGCTGAAACGTGGATAGATTTGAGCAAAAATAATTTATAAAAAAAAGATCAAAACGAACGCCTTTATCGCTATGCATTTGTGCATCTTCGTTCAGATAAACAAATTGTTTATCCTCGATAGTGTGTATTGTTTAAAACAATACACACCATCGAGGCGCGTTGTCCGCCAGCAAAAACGGAATTCCATCGCTGATTTCATGTGAACAAGCAATATTATGTGTGTTCCGCGCATAACAGTCGGTCCAGTGTTAAAAACGATGACTCACATTCATTTTTAAAAGGAAAAGAAAATAAGTCTTCTAGATTTTCACTTCGTCTTTTAATTTCTATGAAAAACTTATCCCGTTCTTCGTTCACTTGAAACAACCCTTTTGGTTGCTTACAAAAATGTATGGTTTTTCAACTGTAGTAAAAAACGACAGTGGTTTTTTGAAAATAATGAAAAACTAAGGCAGTTGTTTGGATGTTGTCAACACGTTGTCAATTATAGCATGGATGTTTTTCAAACAATATAAAAATGACAAAAGTACTGTGTCAAATCAATAAATGATGTATAGCTTCGCTTAGCATCATACTTTAATTATTACAGAATGAGCCATTAACAGATAGAATTCATTTATATAGAATATTATTCAGACTTTCAAGACAAACACTTCTATATCCAATATTTATTGAGTTCTCCTCTACTTCTAAAGAAACATCGACTTCAGAACAGTCAGTTAAACGTGACTTACGTGAAAAATTTATCTTAAGGATTCCTGAAGTCATTGCTAAGAATCAAACATACTAAACTGTAGACTAATTTAAGGAGCTGCTCAGTGAAAATTTAAGTTAGACTTCTAGCTTTGAAACGTTACACATTTTGGTTTCATAAAATTTTGTTCTGAAAGATTCAGTGAAAAAAGTTTAAATACCAAACATTAGTCCAAAGTTGTTGTAAACCGCTTTTTTTCTTTATTTTTTCACTAGAGCATGAAGAAAAACATCATAGAATGAAAGAAGGCAGCAAGGAGATGTCACTATTCTGAGCTCTAAATATGTTAGTAAAAATAAATAATAATGTGCGTTTGTAGAGAATTGTGTTTCACAAAATGTCCTTTTATAAAAGGGAAGAGATTTATTTAGTATACGAAAGTTATCAGTTAACGCTAGTCAACTGTTTTCTTGAAACTAGCCAAAAACTTACCAATTTCTGGTTAAAAAAGTAATCAAAATATAATCTATCGTAACCTACTCAAAAGAGTCATAAAATCAGTCCTAGTTGTTAAAATTACGTACCTAAATTCAAACTCATTTTGTTATAGGAAAAAGACGTTTTGTAAGGATTGAGGTCATATATCCTCGTTTTCAATTGTAAGATGCCTTCAAAACTACCCGAAAACACTGCACAGAGGTGGCCAAGTCCGGGTTTGAAGGCTTTTTTGATGGACTAGGACTCGACTTGGACTTGGGGATTTTTTTATCAAGTCCAAGGAAAGTCCGTTTGAAGTCCAACGAATTAAAATCTTTTATATTCAACAGTTGAGTATAATCCGATACCTAATTTGTCAAACATGCATCAATGTATGGATAAAATTTATTTACCAGTCATGTATGATTATAGCATACTGTATAGTGCAGAAATATGAAGAACTTTGACTCGAACTTGCACTTGACTTTGGCTTCAGCTCCAGTGGACTTGGACTTGGAAATGGTCGCACTGGCCCATCTCTACTGGTACGACAGTTAAAGTTAGGAAAAAATATTTCCGTTCTTCCTAAGATTTAAAAAAACTGGTGAAAAACAGTTCAAAACCTTTCTG